GATTCTGCGAGAGAGAGAGAGAGAGAGAGAGGTATAATACGGTCCGATACGCGGTACGTATCATGGAATGCATTCTTTGCACCCGGTTTTCGAAAGTGTGTGTGTGTGTGGGTGGGTGGGTTATTGAGGCTCTCCCATTGTTTACACAGCACAGCGATGGATCGACGTATGGGTGGTTGGGTGTATCACCGGTACTGCACATATCATACCAGGAATGTCGAATACCGGTAATCAAGATAATTTTCATATATATAAAAAGTGTATTGTATCATACCGTGCGAGTACTGTGCTGTACCACCATCATTGCATCCCGATATAGTGGGCTAACCATCCCACCACCACCACAACCACAATCCATCCATCCATCCAATCCGAGCCAATCCAGTCCACCGAAGTAAGGAAGGCGGGGTGGGGTGAACACTGGATTACCCAGCAAAAAGTGAAAGACATGCAGTACAGGACAGTACAGTACAGTACCGGTACCTCTCCCGGTACCGCCAACCACAAGACATGAACGGAAACACAAGAAAGAGAGAAAGGATAGATGAAGGATGGAGTGAAACAATGCGGTAACAGTATGTAACACTAGAAATACTACCGGTACCCTCCCTCCCGTTCCACCCCATTCCATCCCATCACATCCTATCCCATCGCAGAACGTCCCACGGGAAGGGGGAGGAGGGGTAGAAGAAATTAAAAAAATAATAATTCCCTCTTCACAGAAACAATTGGGGCGGGATAGTCTACAGCATGGGTACAGAGAGCTATGATCACCAACCGGTTTTCAAAGTAGACGTACAGTACAGCACAGTACAGTACAGTACACACTAGCTGCGTATAGTAGGAACGGAGGGAGGGGAGAGGAGAGAAGGTTTCTTCTATGTTTAGTACCAGGGGTTTTAAAAGTAGAAAGTACTAATAGCCGGTTACACTCCTACCGCATTATTTGACGAGAACCGGCAGGCACTGGTATGATAGGTTGAATTAAAAGGTGGCAATATTATGCCATAGTTCTGTATCCAAGGGGGATTCAAGAAATTTGTTTACTAATCTCTATCTACAAATTCAATCTCATCTACATTCTCATTTTCTGGAAGCAGATGTTCCAGATCTTCATCAAAAGACCAATTCTTATTACCAGGTCACTGTTACTTTCTAGCCTTAAACTTCTACACTCCAGGCTCCATCTTATGGTCTCTAATTGCCAATTAGAAGGATTTTTAGTAGA